TTCTATTCTATATAATTATTATATCTAGATCTCCAAAATAAACATACACAATCAATTAACAACTATACCGGTGTAATTTTTTTTGGAATGACAGAAAATTTACTGGAAAATAACCGAGGGATAAGAAATGAGATGTGTCAGTCACAGACCATAAACGTACCACCAACGTTGGTGGTACGTCTATGGTCAGACACGGATAGAAAAGTTCAAATTTACAACCACACGCACTGCATAATCACATTTTACACATACACATTAGCGACGTACTTCAGCAAACAATACTCGACAAAATGTTTTCCCGTTATTTCACTTTTTGTGTGACCATTAATGGATTTCTTTCTTTTTACTGCCTTCATCTTCTATTTCTCCATATGTATATATTTGCTTTTCTGTTTCTTTCTTTCCTTATATATTTTCAATGTTTTTCTTATTTCTCTACCTCTCTTTCCATAATTGTATTATTTCTTTGTTTCGTCCGTTCTTTCTCTATATGTCTTTTCTGATGTATTTCTGAGTTTTCTCTTCTTTCATCTACTCTCTTTCCTAATATATTTCTTTCTTTCTCTTTCTATTCTTTCTGTTGTATTGCCTTGTCATTTGATTCATCTTCTTTTTCTATATTTCCTTATGCATTTATTACATTTTCTTTTCTTTTGAGCTTCTCGTTTATTATTTTCGGTTTGTAAATAATGAGCATGCGATATACGCTGTTGTTCATAAAGTCTTTGATAACACTTATTATTTTCTCAACACTTTGATGATCAATTTCCTCATAATGACAATCAAACCACAATAATCTTTACAAACTTGTTTTTCTTCTTCAATTTCTTCAACCTTGGTCAGTGTAACGAAATTATTCCAACGTTATGGTATTAGTGTATGACTGAAAATACTTTATAACATTTGAAATGAATGCATTCGTATAATTACTGTAAGGTGGTTGGCTTGTTTTATTCTGTACAACGCAAGTAAATGACAATGTTTGGTAAGGTTGTACTCATTTTCCTTAGGTCATAGTAATCGACGTCTTGACATGAGACTATCTTCCCCATGCAGAAAACTGACTTGACGTTGGTCGATTCCTTTCGTTCGAAGTTTGTTTTCACCTTAAATTTTCCATTTTAATCATATTTCAAGCAAGATTAGCAATTTCTTTTACAAAAGTCATACAAACAATCATAATTTGGTAATATTCACCTCTCAGCCAGCGCGTGACCTTGTCTGTCCATTAGAAGGAATTCGTGGTTTCGAGGCATAGTTGTTTGCCCAGACCCTTAATAGAAACATCACATAGATGCATGCACTACAATATTTATAAACAACCTTAATATGGAAGCAAGCTTAATTAATATCTTTTATTAGTACTTAGTACATTTGATATTGATGATTTCGAGTTTTTGGTATAACTATTCGTTAGAAAGAGAGAAAGGAAAATCAATATATAGTGCAACGGGTATGAAAACATAATCTAGTCAGTGGCCGGGTCTTCTAAACCACTGCATTCCACCGAGAGTCAAAATTAAGATAGTTTCTCGTCGTGTTGCCTCGAATTATGACCGTAATAAAACTGTCAGACTAAAATAAGACACACGACCTTCGTCATAGGCCCATGTAGTGTACGAACAGTCGAACATTACTCTTAAAATTATCTTCTGTAAAAAATGCCATAAGATAAGAATAAGTCAGTTTGTCCGCGACAAAATGTAGACTGTTTCAAGAAAATTTCGCTGGAATTGAAGACCTTGGCAAGATCATTTTAAGTCATTTTGGCCGGCCAGTTCATAGTGATAAGGATTGTCAAATGCACTTTCAACTTCTAGTTCCTGATACGTTATTCTACACAGTATAATGCCAAGATTAATATCTCTCGCATCCGTTATGAAAGGTATTAAATTTGTTGCGGTTATTGGGATAGATTGTTATTTTTAAAGAGGATCTCTAGTATGTTTTCAGCACGCACTTGGCCTGTCGGAACATGAAATAAAGAAACAAAGAAATTAACTTAGAAGTGTGACGTTCACTTGCATTATGCATCATAGGTAACAACGAAACAATATAAATGTATACATCAGATATATACGAGGTCAAGGGGAAATGAAAAGAGGAGAAGAAGAGGCGGCAGGAGAGAGAGGGTGGAGAAAGAGGGAGAGATATATCTATATTTTTAAAAAAAGAGAGAGTTGGAGAGACAGGGAGAGAAAGAGAGAGTGAGAGAGAGAGAGAGAGAGAGAAGCAAAGAGAAGTAGATGAATAGAGAGAAGGTGAAAGAAAACAATGTATTTGTTCATAGTACTGATAAATGAATTTAAATGAAATGAAATAATCATGGTAAACATGTTAAATAAGACACATCTTAAAACAGAACTACTCATACACGGACAGCAACAGAAAAGGTAAGGAGTGATGGAGAAAATGGAAAAAATAAGGGGGAGAGTGACGGGGGAAATTTTAACAAGAGTAATCAGGCTTACTCGAAAAGCCATAGTGAGATGAATAGAGTGGAATGATTTTAAGAGACAGATGAGAAACATCAGGAAAGAAAATAATATATCAAACGGCTTATAGACAGACATAGCGAGAGACAGAGGAAGAAAGGGGGTAAAGGGGATGGGGCTCGGTGTAAAAATGTCAGAGTTAAAAATGTCAGAGGTAAAAATGTCATAATTGTATCGAATGGTGATGATAACCTCTGAATTCTGGTTTGGAATAGCCATTAAGTTTTCTTCAGTGAAGGTTAATGTGGTTAATAGAGGAACATAAGGATTGTCAAATGCACTTTTAACTTCTAGTTCCTGATACGTTATTCTACACAGTATAATGCCAAGATCAATATCTCTCGCATCCGTTATGAAAGGTATTAAATTTGTTGCGGTTATTGTGATAGATTGTTATTTTTAAAGAGGAACTCTAGTATGTTTTCAGCATGCACTTGGCCTGTCGGAACATGCTGTACATCCGCTTTGCTCGATCCCATGAAATCTCTACAGGAAAAAACGAATAATGTCCTATCATGTTTTCATTTATTTGATCCGTATTTGTAAAGAAATTAACTTAGAAATGTGACGTTCACTTGCAAAATACATTATAGGTAACATCAAAACAATATAAATTTATACATCAGATATATACATCAGAGGGGGCGTCCAAAAAACAGCCCTTTCGACGAAAAAAATAATATTTTGTAAATTATATTTTAGGGATTTCTTGAAAAAGCATGAATCTGGTGTCATATGAAAGAAGAAAAAATTGTTCACATTTTAACATCAATTTTGAACAAATTGGGATTAATTAGCATCGTAATTGTGTGTAAGTAACGTGATTTTTCGTGATTTAAAAAATACAACTTTTTTTCCACATATTGAAATCGGAGGGGTGTCTTTTTTCGTAACTTCCCGATATTTTTTTGTCCATGTACAAGGACAATATCTAGTGCGAAGGTGAGGATTATATCTCTTTAAAATTTGCTAGGTAATATTTTTCGTTTATCTTTGTTATCTTGTTATGTTTTTTTTAATGTTTTTTAAGTGTTATTACAGGTGGAAAATAGATATACTGGGATTCTCTTTTAGAACTCTAGAATGCTTTTGCCCATAGAGGGCTAGGGCGTTTGGTCATTTAATTTGTCATGGATATCCTAATGTAAATTTATATTTGCTATTTCCCCCTTACATTGGAATATTTTTAATTTGCAGGTGTAAGCAGGAGGGAAAAGAAAATCCAAATTGCACAAATTTGTCCCTCTCTTTCTTAATGTTGTTCCTCAGTCTAAAAGTGCATTTTTATTTTCATTTTCATCAGAGGCATAAAAACAAAAGTGATAAGTTAAGGTGGTATGCATACGTCATACATACAAATATATATATATATATATATATATACAGAGAGAGAGAGCGAGAAAGAGAGAGAGAGAACGCGCATGAGAGAGAGAGATAGAGAGAGAAAGAGATGAAGAGGAATAGATTGAGAGAGAGAGAGAGAGAGAGAGAGAGAGGGGAGGGGATTAATGGTCCCCGAACAAACCGCTATGGGTTTTCCATACTTGGAAGGCATATATAATTTTATGTAGGAAGAATTAATGATGGGGTCATTACGATCGTATATTGCTTTTGCTGTGTGTCTCCTGCATTATCTTGTCAAGCTTTCTCTCTATATTTTCATGATCTTCTTTAGGACTCATGTTTATAATCGACAGGTTTATTTTGATGTTTATAACGGTGACGCGTTTTAATCTGCATCATGCTTTTCTGAGTGGTTAGTCTCTGATCATTAATGCTGTTTTGCGTAATTATGTGTTTTCTTGCTTTCGTATGCATTTCAATCCTATCTCTCTCTCTCTCTCGTAATTCCCTTGCCTTCTCTCTCTCTCTCTCTGTCCGTTTCTATTTTTCAGCGTCTACTTACACCACGCCGTTTCTCTCTTTCATACACTCTCCAATCTAATTCTCTCTTGTTTTCTGTAAAAAGCGCTTCACCCTCTGTCTTTATTAATGTTGCCCACCTCTTATCCGACTTATTCCAGTTTACGTGAATAAAGCTCTAAGGCGATATTCAAAATGTAAATGGTTTTTATAATTATTTAATTAAATTTCTTGCGATGTTTCCTCTTCTACCATCTTTCAACAACAAGAACATTTTGGATCCCATGAGTTCAATCAGTTATAGATCGATCCTTCTCTTGTATACAAATGTACAAAGACATATTTTCTGTTTGTAATTCCCTGAAAGTGCGTATGATTATGTACACACGTACAATAAACACAATACTCCACTCTGAGAAACAGTCAGTGTTGGTAAAAGTCGAAGGGATTGTATTTTCCTCAATTTACAATTTCCTAGACTTGTAAGAAAAAAGAAACCACTTATAATATGTTATGTCTTGAAATGTCTGCATTTTGGGGAAATTTCACTTTGAGTGATCTTTTGTTAAATGAATATCATTTGTTACCATTCGATAACTTGCTCACTAACTTATTGATATCTTAAAGATGAAACTTCGTATGGTCATTGTAGATGAATTTTATTGTTGCTGATTAATCTCACAATAGCCTATACAAAAATAAGATTTTATGAATAATGACAATGTATTTGGATTGACAATATATATCTTTCTTGCCGGACAAATAAAACAAAGGTAGCTGTTCTCCTCCTGAAGCTGACAATCGAATAAATATTAGAACGGCTAGCTCCACACATACATACACACACACACACACACAAACACAAACACACACACAATCAGAAGATTTTTACCAAATGACCTTTAAAAAACAGCCATTTTTTGTACCTTGATAAACAAATCATCACAACTTCAACATATATAACAAAATCCATATAGCCACGGATCTATTTGGTCTATGACATAACCAAATAAGTTGCTCATCAGATGATAAAACAATCATTGAAAGCAAATGACAGTCTTACTGCATATATAAATACATGGAACTATTGTCTCTACAATTACTGATGAGATAATTACAAACATTTGTTGTTCTTACAACAAATTCCATATTCTGCAAGTCCTACTGTATACTCTTTGTTTCCACTTTATGTATGTTTACATATTCAATACATTTCGGATATCAATAACACGTTACAGCAGTCCTGCAAATCCATGAACATGGGAAATATATCAAAAAGAAATTCACCGGCTTTCAGATGATTCCAGAATTTATCAAGGCAATCAATGAGCCTGTAATAAAAGCAATTTGTTGTCAATACATCCCAAACAGAGAGAAATACATCTCTCACAACGTAACGCACATTGCAAGACTCAACTTATCACTTTCTGTTGTTCAGGTTTACAGCACATCAAATGACAAAATCATTACCACACAGGCATTAAAGAAAACGATCATTACAATAGAGACATAAAAGGAAAGAAATGTACAATAGAGTATAAATTGATACATGTCACAAACTAGAATAGATCATATCAAAGTTAGGAGTAAGATTAGTTAGATGTCTCCATTCTGGGAAATGATGTAATGACACAATATTTAAATTCAATGTGCATGGATGTTCTTTTTCCATTTGACTGAAGAGCAAAACAAAACAAAAAGCATAATTCTAAACAAATATATGATACAATGTATAATGATTATGATATATTTACACACATATACATATTAAATAATTTATCATGCTTTTGTACATCTTATCAAGAAATGAGTATGTTCACTTCTTGGCTATGACGATTACATTTAGGGAACAAATATGTTCAATATTTTAATCTAAAAAAACAAGTAATGATTGGATTGGACAGAAATAAGTCTAAAGCTTGTCTAGATCGAGTATATACATTCTACACATGGTATTGTTCAACAATCTTTCTTGATAATGGATAAATAATTAAACAGGAAAAGTCGAAACAAATTACGTTACCCGTAGTTCATGAAATAAATCCTCAGGGTGGTATACCGGAAATTCTTACAGAATACATGTATCACCGAGATGAAGGATATATCAACAGATCATTACGAATTAGATTCCTGATGAACTTGTTATGATAGTACAATGCGATATAAATGTGATATCATTATGACAGTGTATCAAATATGAGTACACAAACGGTTGGATTGTTTATCAAACAATCTATTGAGATTTTAGATTTGTTCAAATCAGATCGCTTCTGTTCGATTCATTTAATATTTCACATTTCACCTTCTGCATTGTCAGTTCTACTTACCAGGAATCTAATGATAGTAACAATACAATTTCTTTTTGGATACAAATAAGTTCACATAAATTGTATTTGTTTGTAGTTTGTTGTTCCTTGTAACTGAAGAAGAAATGAAGAAGCCTAAGTAAAAGCATGTTTGCTGAGTGTAGCCTGTATATTGTAGGCTCTAGTTTATATTGGAAAAGATTGTTTTAACATTGCAACCCAACTTATGGTCGCTAGGAAACCCCTTTTTATGATTATGTTAAATGGTAAGGGTTCACAAGCCGTCAAACTTTTGCTTACCTTGAAGCTTCAAGTGTGATTGAAATAGGTTTCTGGCTTTAGTATATGTAAGTATCAAGACAGGGCATAAGTATTCTAATGTTTATGATACTATATTCCATGCATTTTAACTTTAGATATCCTTCAGTTAGTTATTCGGGTAGCCTGGTTACCGCCTCACTTGACAAGTTATTTTTTGAAGTCCGTAGTAGTCTGCTGCCATCACGTGGTCTGATGAGGATCATCTTCCAACGTTGATACGTTGTTGCTTGACGGCCAAACCACATATTACATAACCGTTGCACTATCCTTCCACTATAATTATGGAAACATAAGAATACCAGAAATAATATAAATATAATGATGGTTTTCTAAAAAATGAAGTTCCTTTCAAATAAGCAATACATTTTGGCAGTTGAATTTGAGAGAGGTGTATTCTATTTTTTTTAAAATAATAATCATAGTTTGATTCGATTTCATAAGATGTTTATTTATTCCATATAAATCAACATATTTATATTTACAATCTTATAACTTAAGATGTATGATAATGACACGGTATGTACATAAAATGGATCATCTTAAGCATAAGCTTAAAGTTACGTCCTCTCGGAAATGAAAATAAGAATACATACAAATTGAAGCTATGCATGAAAATTAGGTCAGGAAGGAAGCAAGATTTAAACAAATAGCATAGAAAGAGAAGGGACAGAGATGAGCGGGGAGAGAGAGAAGGTTTCATTTATGATAGGATTGAAAGGAGTACATATAAATCAAGTCGAGTTTTGCATGTTTAGAAAATCATCTTTGGACAGCTACTATTCATAACAAAAGGGACATTCTTAAAATAAATTATAAGTTTAAAAAAAAGTTTCAGAGATTGAAATTGATGTAGGTCAGATATCTATCGGGTAAATAGTTCACAACCATTTATATAGGGGTTTTTTTTATTTATGTTAACCTTTGAATTTCAATCACTAAGGCGATGTATTCATTCACATGTTTTCATTCGAAGAAGAGAGAAATTGATGTGCAATGCTAGGATATCATTTGGTAAAACCAAAATTAGATTTAAATTTGACTACTATTTGCAAGCAATTTTACATTGATGAAATACTTTTGTTCAGAAATGTACTACCAGCCTTACGTTTCAGGCAGGGAAGATTTGAAACATATATGCCTACACTCCGTACCATCTTAATGTCATAATTTCTTCATGAAATCATATTTGTTGTTGTTTCTATTGCAGAATTAAGAGTACAATGATAAAAGCAGTTTGATTGAAAAATGCAGGCCACAAACAACATTATTTATCTTTAACATGTTTTGAAAAAAACAGTGTGATTCGAAGGAACTTCTTTCCAATATACACTCGTATGTTCAAACTCATGCTATATTGTAAGCAGTATGTTTTATGCATCTACTTTTTGCCATTGTGCGATTAAAGTGTAGTTTATGTTTGTTAAGGTAGAGCAGTGCGACTTTAGTTGGAATTTCTCTCCAATATATATCCTATATTCAAACTCATGGATATTGCAGTATTTTAAGAAGCATGTTTTACCATTCTACTTTTCGCCATGGTTCTAATTTGACTCACTCATATCATCATTTTAATTTGCTGAGATGCATGCTATATGATCATTTGACTCATTTCTTTCAGTAGAGCTATAGCTAGTATAACGGAAATTTGTCTTCCTTTCATCAGGTTTTAAGGTCATATCGCTTTTAAAACAAGAAGACGAAGTACAATGAGCGTTTTCTCCTTATAGGCTACATCATGTAAACGAAGAAAAAGTACTCTTTAACTAAAAAAAATGTCATATAGTTGTGAAAAGCCTTTTTTTCTGTGTTGTTATATTTCAGTTTCCGGATATCATTACACAGATCAAGAACAAAGCTTTTTGCTAGAAGTGATCATTTTAATCAGACCGGAATTAACATATTAAGGACAGCTTAAATTATTGGTATTGTTTATTCTTGGGTACCGATAGGGCGGAGTTAAATGTGGATAATAACAAATAGCCTACTTTGAATCGATGGAATGAAAGAGGGAGAAGAATCAGTCGGAGGATGGGCATGTAACCCATTGGTATATCTTACCACACCATGCTTCACGGTGACAGTCAGCTTGCCTTCACTGTTTACATGAGAAATCAGTGGATCCAGATCCGCGCTCGTACGACACAAATCCAACCTATAGTAATAAGAATTTAAAAAAGTATATTTCGGGTGGGGGGAATACATTATCTTCTGAACTAACCTGAAGTACGATACCATCAGAGATGTATGCTATATGATGTGAGAATAGATGACAATTTATTACACATCGGACCTTGCATAATTTTGCTCTGTATTTAGATTGCATGACTGCAAACCATGGTATCATAACTGTGCATGTAGGATACAGCAGGTCTATGAACATCATGATGAATAAAATAAATAAAGTATTGAATTTAAATTTATCTTAAAGTGACTCGGTAACATTGCCTCAGATTCTGAAACAAAATCCTGGATTTAGCTCATGATGCAATCATAATTATAAACCTTTAGTTCAGTCACTCAGGAATCTCATGACTTTTACAAGCCGATCGCCTTTATGCCCTTAATTAAATGAAATTGGTATGAATAAATCCTGAAATGAAGAGATCCTCAGATCATGTAAACCATTGTTAAAAAAAACCGATACAGCCCCCTGCATTCAAAACCTAAATGCAACTACCCCAAACTAATTAACCAGTAATAACGGTAGGTGGCTTGTGGAGCAAAGTGTTGCCCTAGTCGAACTCCTTTTGATAACAAATTCAAGTGTGTTAAATTAACGATAGTTTTCCTCTGATCATGCTTATAATGCTTATAAGATAAAAACATATTTAGAATCAGGTATCTAGGTTGTACCAACACCATGTAAGCATAAATTCTATATCTAAAGGTATGGAAGAAATTAAAATTTAAATATGTTCATCTTAATATCGTTGTAAATAATCCAATGGTCTAGATGTTCGTGTACAGACTTAACACAATATATCACAACAATATGCAAATGAGCGTTCATCAAAAAGGAAATGACAAATTAATATTATTTCATAGCTTCCACCATTAAAATGTTTTGTAAATATATGTTCGTATTATATTGCATCCAAGTACACTCTTATAACAATTAACGTATTACGGGTCTCTAGACATGGTGGAATAGTTTTCTGACTATATTGAGCTATCATTATTATATGGAAATATAAAGTAGAATTAAAACTTTCCATTTTAATACCAAGAAATGAATACTTAATTTGCATACTATGCATAAAGTACTGCTCCAACCCATCTTGAAATGTATTCATCCTGTTCGGTGGGACAATGCCAATATCCATGATATTATTTGAATTGATTTACCTGGGATCTTGGAAGGCAGATTATGATAAAAATATGAATTTTGATATCTCTCTGCTGAAAGCTTTTTGCATATTTTGCAAACATTAATCCTAATGTTGATTTTAAAACATTTCCATCGTTTTGTTGACATTGAAAATATTTCATTGAACACTTGATTTGTTTACATTGGTTATTTACAAATATTTTGAGATGAAAATATGAATTTTAACAGTTTGATATTGTCTCTGAATTTTTTTTTATTGTGTTAACTGACCTTAAAACATCCCTTGAAGAGCTAAAACCCTTTTAATTAAGTATTTAAATGCATATTTTTCATAAGACAATAATTCTTTGTTCATATTACGGAATTTTCTCAAACCGATATTATGTTACTTAGAGTATCACATGCATTCCTAGTTCTCAAAAGTGGGATAGAGAGGGACTGAGAGAGAGAGAGAGAGGGGGGGAGAGAGAGGGGAGAGAGAGAATGGTAAAGAACACGAAGATGTGTTGTACATGAAAATTTCGAAGATTTTGATTATTATGTGGCAATCATTACCCTGGTAAATCAAAATGAGACTCACTCTATGCTTGTCAGGTGAGGATGAGTCTTCATGAGTTGGATGATCTCAGCTACCTTCTTGGTGTACAGGTCAATGCAGGTAAGGGACAGCTTGGTGAGCCGAGGACATGATGTTTTAACCGCCTTGCAGAACGATACGGGATCATCCAGTATAGTACATGATTTATAAGGCTGGAGTGCCTGGATGTGAAGGTGAGTTAGATTATGGAATGGACAGCAGGCCGTTGTGACGATATCTGATGTTACGATATGTGATGAGACATTTCTCCGTCTTGACCAGAAAAGTTTCATAGTTTTCACTCGGGGACATGATGTATGAAGTCCAAGATTCCACAGACTTGTCACATGCTTACCGTCCACAGATAGCTCATCTACTGAGGTTATTTGACGATTCTACATGAAACAGCGGTGAATAATCAATGGAAACCAACGTCAATGTAAGAAATTATATTAGATATTAAAACTGACTCATTATGATTTTAATATAGTACTTTTACTGTTCAGTTCATGCTTGGTAAATATTCTACAAATATATAATGATAATACTAGAGGGTTTTCATCAGTTTAAAGTAAGAAGAAATAAAGAAACGCGTATTTTTGGGGGAAATGGGACAAAGAATACAACATTTTAAAACTTTTGGATGCCGAGATTGTGAATGATTTAGAGTTTGTTCCATTAACATTACAGGCATGTTAGATGCCATTCCGGATCAACTATAACCGATTAACTTTTCCAAAATAATACAAATACCTCTATGTTTTCCAGTTTAGTGATCCAGCAGATTATGTTTGAATTAATTTGATTTGATTTATTTATTTCTGTTTTATTCTATTTTTCTTTTGCATTTTTACAAATATATAACAAACAAAATATTGCAAATTTTACACATTTCAAAAGAATATAATGTCGAATAAAGTTACTTATCGAAAACATCAAACAGGAGGGTTTACAAAGTGAGCAAAGCTTGATAGCATGACTACCCTCAATGGATACATAATAATACGAAAATGGTGGAACAAATATTGGTAAAAGGGGAAGGAGAGAGAGAGAGAGAGAGAGAAAGAAGAAAAAAGAAAGAGGGGTGTACATCAAAATTCACAGATGTATGTGGTTAATGTTTTATGAAGATAAAAAAAGAGATGCACATTGGAATATTGGGTGGCCAACTTGGGATATATTATAGAATGAGAAGACTCACGAGGTTTTGGACATTAGGCATAAACGTATACTGCCCTTCCTTTACAAAAAGGTTTGTCTATCAAAAGACTCTAGAAAGGGTGTTAACGGTATTTTGGATACAAAACAATTAGTGGATTACCCCCTGTATGACATAACACATCATGACTGCATTGCCGATACAAGTTTTTTTTTCCACATCATTAGCATTATCGACGTTCACTATTTCATAACGTGTATTCTTTTCCAGCTGTTTCTGAAACCTTCTAAAAATGTTTCTTAATTTTGTCCTTTTCCACCAACATGACCAAAGTCAATTAACTAACGAGGGTCCTCCTTTTCAGTGGAAGATGACTTTTTACTACTCATTATCATCTTTTTGTATTGTGGTGTTCGTTCAGCCAGACTAAATCAAATCATTTAAATGATTTCACATTATTGAAAGTTTAACGTTTAATGATGAAAACATAATCAACACAAATCTCTTTAGAAAATAGCAAGCGGCAATCATTCATCAATCGTTTTTTAACGAGTTTTAAGAAAATATGCATGGTTACACTTCATCCCAAATTGAGAAACTTATTACAGTGAATGTATAGATATTTTATATCTGTACAACATTTAATAAATATTTACTAACCCCGTAGTATGTCGTTGTTAACTTGATTTCAAGAAAAAATATGTTATTCTTTCGGCGATTCCTTTAGCTTTCATATTTAGTCTGTTTAGTTTTTCTGAACCCCTTTCTTTTGACCTTGGAACAAAAGAGGATTTTGACTTCAATCTTGGAATAGAAATACATACCAGTGTCTCTCCATCGTCCATGTCAACTGATCTGATATCCGTCAAGCTGAGTGACTGGAGGCTTGGTAGCGAGAGAATGGAGCGTAGTTGACACGGAGTTATGGAAACTAACCCCATACTCAGCGTCTGGATCTGTACAAAGACAATTTTATCAGTTCACACCAAAGTGAATAAACACCTTTTTAAATCAAAGCAAATATCAGATGAATCTGCATCTCAGTAACTTTATCATTCACTAAGTCTGATTATTTCGTATCTATTTCTGCTATAGTTCAAATGAATCAACATGTTATAATAAACAAATAAGCATTTTAATGTGCATGACATATTTTTTTTTCAATATAGGTACTTAAGGTATTGTATCATTGGGATCACACACCATCAAAATGATATCTTCAAGAGAGTATGTTATACTTTTCCCCTTTGTTTTCAGTATGCTTATTTCATCTGGCAATAGTTGTTACATGATAACAAGTGGACTACGGTTAACATCAGTTAAAATCATTCAGTTATCACATTAATCGGTTCTTAATGCGTGGTACACGAAAAGAACATTATAATCAAAATATTCATGGTATGAAAAGAAATTATTAATTTTATTTCATCTATTTACTTATTTTTGATACATGGTGGTCTTCCACGAGGCCCTCTTTGGTAACAAGGCTATTCAATAACAATCATCAATAAAAACAGATAACAGCAACCAAACAAAATATTTAAAAAAATACACACACTAGTTCGGATTACGGACATGGAGTAACACGTACTGGTATAAATCTCTCCGCAATTCTCTTTTAAATTGATCTAATTCATAGTTTTATTTTTATCGCTGGTGATCTTATCTGCTGCAACGATGACTTCGAGACGCGATAAACACCATCGTAGAGCCAAAGGAGATTCGAATCCCACAGATATCGACATCTTATCGGATAATCAGGACCTACCACAGCATGGTGAGGCCTCACCCTCACTGGCACCACCTCATTCGGCCAAGCAACCCCGGGGAAGCCCGGGCGCCTCATCATACTTAGGTACAGCGGCTGGTGCTAGTGGCTACTCAAGTGGAACGGGCCAAACATTCACCCCACCTGTTAGCTCTGCGCCCGACATGGATACGAGTAACGCGAGCATTGTTAGCATGCAACAATACTTCAAGACAGCTACGGAGGGCTTTGAAGGTATGATAAGGAAGGCTGTTGATTCATTGATTGAAAATATCAAACGCGTTGAGATTAACCTCGCCGAATCTATCGAATTTGAGAGCAAGCGGGTATCCGAGCTGGAAAAGAAAAATGCATCCCTGGAGAAAAGGATGTCCGAGTTGGAGAATGAGCTAGCTCCGCTTCGTGCTTTAGCGGCATCAAATGCAGCAGGAATCAACAAGGCTGAACGTTTTTCGCGTAGGAACAACATCCGCCTCGTAGGCTATCCAGAAGCAGCGGACCAGCGTGCACTCGAGCAATGCATCGAGATCGCGGAGGACATCATTCGCGGGAAATTCAAAATCGACCTCAAGGTCGAACGGGCTCATCGCGATGGAAGGCGCACGGAGAGACCTCGGCATATCCTCATCAAACTTCAGTCGTACCGGCACAAAGTTGACATCATGAGGAAGGCTCGCTCCACGTTGGCAAATGAAGCTTTCTTTTTTACTGACGACCTCACCAAAGATGACCTAACGGAAAAACGTAGATGGTCGGCGGAGGTAAAGAAACTCTATGGCCAGGGTGTGAAGCTGCGCTTTGCCGCCGGAAAGTGGCGTGATGGATCAGGTGTTCCCTATGGTTTCAGAGTCTAATCGTCAACAAGAGACGAGGTCATGTAAGATTATGGTCACACTGTATTTTGTATAATTATTATTTTGTTGCCATTTCTCTTCCATACATTTGCCAGGTTAGCAAGATGCCAAAGAAACCAATTTTTTGTTTATGGCAGAGATTGTATTATTCTCCCCTAGTTATTTTCAGAGTATAATCGACGATCAATAGAAGAGGTCATGTAAATTACGTTATATTACTGTACATACTCGCATAATTATTTGCCATGTCTCTTCTATACATTTGCCAGGTAGCAAGTTGCCAAAGAAATCAACTTTTTGTTTATGGCAGAGATTGTATTATTCTCCCCTAGCTGTTTTCAGAGTGTAATCGACGATCAATAGAAGAGGTCATGTAAATTACGTTATATTACTGTACATACTCGCATAATTATTTGCCATGTCTCTTCTATACATTTGCCAGGTAGCAAGTTGCCAAAGAAACCAACTTCTTGTTTATGGCAGAGATTGTATTATTCTCCCCTAGTTGTTTTCAGAATGTAATCGACGATCAATAGAAGAGGTCATGTACATTACGTTATATTACTGTACATACTCGCATAATTATTTGCCATGTCTCTTCTATTAATTTGCCAGGTAGCAAGTTGCCAAAGAAACCAACTTTTTGTTTATGGCAGAGATTGTATTATTCTCCCCTAGTTGTTTTCAGAATGTAATCGACGATCAACAGAAGAGGTCATGTACCTTACGTTATATTACTGTACATACTCGCGAAATTATTTGCCATGTCTCTTCTATACATTTGCCAGGTAGCAAGTTGCCAAAGAAATCAACTTTTTGTTTATGGCAGAGATATTATCTACCCTGTTTTACTGCACCTGTTTTCCACCCTCTTTTCCTGCTCTTCAATATCTGCTCCATTTACCCCCACCATTTTTTGTTGTTGATATTATCACATTGAATTAGAACTATTGGTTTATTATTAATTGTGTGCGGAGGGGAATTACCAGAAATTTGAAATGATTAAGATTTTATCTTCAAACTGTTTTCAGTTTAGTCATTATATTTACTACGTGTGTTTCCCGCTTGATCACACAAGCGGCTACTGTTTAATACATATTATGATGAATTTGATCAACTTTCAGCATATTTTCAACCTTACTCTGTACTTATTAGCATATGTAAATTCACTACCTGTGCGCTCTGGTATTTCACCTTACGTATTTCATTCGAGCTTAAACGGAAATGTTTTGATTCACGACTTATTATATAAACATCTGTACTTGCAATTCTG